ACAAATTTTTGTGCACCAGGCCTCTAGTAACTACATATAAAACATTTATTTGGACTGACTTCAGGCCAACTTTCTACCCTGTCATTAACCAAATGGAGGAGCTGCTTATGCAAGATTCTGACCTGAGGCTGGAGACCGGATATTCTTCCAGTCGACAAAAGAAAACCCGTCTGACCCCACCCAGCTTGGAAAGCTCTGGCGGCTATTGAACCAATCAAAGGCTGCCAGATGCACTTGAAAGTCAATCAGAAAGCCTCCCACCCACTCACTAATCAAATTCTGTCCTAAGACTTCCTCTGTTTACTCGACGAACCTCACTCTCCTTTCAAAACACCCCAAGTCTCTGCCAGAAGGAAAGTTATGGTAGCTGACTTCCCTACTCCAAGAGCTAAACACACAAGCTTTAGGCAGTTCTAGAGAGGTTCTTTGTCTTTTTGACAAAGCACAAACATACTCTTATCCAGATTTGCAATATAAATTTGCATGTTGGGTTACCTCCAACATGATCAGAGGTTGCCAGATTGTGGGATCCAACACACCTCACTTCCAGCAGCCTCTCCACCCAAATGTGCCCCTCCTTAAAACGGGGATGGGGGTGGGGGTGAGGTCCTATGGGTTGTGCCTCTGGGGTGAGTGGGGATTTGGGGGGAAGGGAGCTCTTTTCAGTTTGTGGTCTTTTTTTCTGAGCTGCCTAAAGGTTAACATTCTATAGTTAAAGATTTATTATCTGGGCTCCAAGACTGTTCTTCACGCAACTGACTGTAATGGGAGGAAGTCCACATTTCTGTAAGAAAAGATGCGCAGCCAGGGGAGGTCCGCAGAGAGAAGTCATCTAGATCTTGTCTAAGAGGACCACCTAAGAAGGTGGAAGAGCCTCTTAAAGGAAAAGTGCCAGCTTTCTGGGTGCTGGCTAAGGACAGAGTGACTGCCCAGTTGACTGGAAGTGCATTTTTTCCCAGCAGCCTCAGGAGCTGCAGGCCTGGCTCAGTGCAGCCGCAGCCTCCCCGTGCTCCCTTCCTCTGAGAGCTAGCCTGTCTCTCCCCCATTTATTTACTGTGTCCAGGCAGATGCTGATACAAGTCCACTGTGTTCCCCAAATACCAAGAGCATATATTAATCTCTCCAACTGGTCCCAGGAAACTTCCTTTGGATTAAGGTACCCTCCCCAATTCCTATCTTGCCATTCACATTAATGTAGGTGGCTTTTGATAGGAGAAAAAATGGTAGAGTTAGTGTATAAGAAACTAGGGAGGGAAGAGACTAAGAAAAAATGCCAGTGAGTCAAAAAGGGACATTTAATTTGGCCTAGGGCCAAATCCCACAACTCCTACTGTCCAGCACAGAGGAGCAGCAGCCCGCAACAGTTCCCCTGCCTCGTGCTAGTTCCTTTCTTGCTATTATGGTCTGCTTATCTTGACACACATCTATCTGGTTCTACCATAAGCCTGGGGGTGCAAATCCCAGCTCCCTAATTCTTACAGAAATCAGGGAGGGAGAGCCAGTGAGCAGAACATATAGTCTGATAAGAAGGGTTAGTGGCAGGAACCTGGTTCTTTAAATGCCCTGAGCAGAAACGCTCCACACAGACCAAGGGGTGGTGGGAGCAGGGGCAAAGGAGAAGAAGCAGGAGCCAGCAAGGGGTTTTCCCAGGTGATGCCTGATCTGAATTTTAGAGGAGATTCTGAATTTTGCAAGGCATAGAAAGTGGGGGTGATGTTTGGGTATGATTACCAGATCCTGACCATCCTATCTAATAATAGACAAACATGGTAATTGACCATACCTTCGCTATGCCTCCCATTGGTTAATCAGCACGATATGCAAATTAACCACCAACCAATTTGGCAGCTAATTTGCATACTGCAGGCAGGGCTGGACAGTGCAGCCGCCAGCGCGAGAGAGCTGCCATCCAGGCCCCCGTGTGCGACCCCAGAAGCCGCTTGCCTGCCGCTGTGATCGGATCCGATCCCGGGCAGAAGGCCAGCCCCAGAAGGCCCAGAAGCTGCACAGAAGCCGCACAGAAGCCGGTGATTGGGGGGAGATGGGGGTCCCCTGCCCAGGCCTGACACCTCTGGCGGAGGTGTCAGGCCTGGGCAAGGGGCCGATCTGGCAATTGGAGGGTGATGGAGTTGACGCCTCTGGCTGAGGTGTCAGGCCTGGGTGAGGGCGGAGCTGGTGATTGGGGGGAGATGGGGGTCCCCTGCCCAGGCCTGACGCCTGGGCCAGAGGCGTCAGGCCTGGGCCGGGGTGGACAAGCCGGCGATTGGTGTGAACTACAGAGGAAACACCTTTTCTGACTGCTCATTGGCTAGGCTCCCTGTATGCCACTGGTAATATTCTTAGTAACTTGGGTAATAAGAATCCAAAAAAGTGATCTAGGTTTTTTCACCACACTCCTGGTGAAAAAAATGAAGGTCCGCTGCTGGAGGGCTAAGAAATGTCATATCCTGCCCTAGCCAGTTTGGCTCAGTGGATAATGCCTTGGCCTGCCGATGGCAAGGGACTGGAGTCCGTGTTGATGAAAAAACCTTGCTGGCTGCGGTGACTGGCAGTGGCTGCAGCAGTGGGTGATGGGGCTGGTGCCTTCCCCTGATCAGCCCGGTCGCCTCCCAAAAAGGGAGGCCAGACTGCGGCTTAGGCCCACT